AATTTGGCTGCGTCGTAGGTCGAAAGGTGATTCCTTGAAGCCGCCGAGAGATCTGCTGATGATGGACGTTATAGGCTGCTGCAGCGCGTCGAATGCTCTTAAACTGGCCTGTACGATAGGCCTGAACTGCTAGAGTAAGCCTACCCTCTTGCTGAGTAAATATCACGTTCTGTTGTTGAGGCATTGTCTTTCGTACGTGAAGTTCGCGATGCCAAGAAAAAGTGGCACTCTCGGTGGGGTGGCACTCTCGGTGGTGGAATACGTTATATAGAGTGAGCGTATTATGAAAGTATAACCTTTAGTAGCTTATGCCTTCTTTAAACTACTCTATTAAGGGCTGTTACTAACAAACTCAGTATAATTTATAGTCTTCGGCGGTATTTTTGGTAGTACTTGATGAGTCCCTGTTAGCAAGAACTTTTGACAGTCACCTCTGTAGAGAATGAGTATTCAGAGTCTAGAATAATAAATTGGGCAAATCAGTCTGCATATGATACGCATATGATAGTCGTGCTTCGAGTAGAAGAGTGCTTACACCATGCGCATAGGGCTTTGTCAGAAACTTAGTCTAGGGATAACACTCATTAAACCTTATTGATTGTTCTCCCGTCAATCCAGTCTCAATTTAGGGTATCAAATCTCACATCATTTGCGATGCGATGAATATAAAGCTCATGGCGTTCCGCCAAATTTCTCCTCATCAAATTCTCTTTTCTCCTACAGCTTAGTGAAAGCCTATCTACTACCTAAACACTGCCTATACGTATCTTCGCGTCAAGCAATCTTAACTTTTGCCCAGTATGCAGATTAGCCTGGTACTATTGACGTTTCTCGCCTCTGTCGCACTTGCAGAGAAACGTTGTACTTTCTATAAACATTTCGAGGGCAATTGCATCGTGAAAGAAATTGACGTGAGTATATTCAGAACCATATACATCGGCATTAGATATTGACTTATAGCAGGGCAAGGTTTGTATACTACTCTCACCTTGAGACTACGTCTAAAATAATTCCCTTTTAGAATTACCACGTGTACGACGGCAAAACCGACACCCCGGCCGCCCGCAGGAAGTGTGATCACGACAAAGGTTTTACGTTCCATAGGTCTGATCTAGTGGGGAGCTGCATCACGAAAGGCCAGGAAAACAATTGGGTTCAGGAAATGCGCGTAAGTCTATGATCCAAGAATTGCATCGCATATCCTAATAATTCCGAGGTTGAATGCTGCCCCGAATAGATAAGTGAGTACATGTAAGAGGTCTCACAGCAGGGTAGCTTAAGCATAGTAATATGTATCGTGTTTGTGTAGGCTTGCGGGCAGACTCAGGAAGGGCAATGGCTTATTGCAGCTTTAGCTGCATATTAGAATCAGTCACGTGTTAGCTAAGTCATCGTTTTCCCATAACTAGGGGCTCAAAATGCAAGACTTCGTTGGCAGAATCGATTCTTATTGGCTCTAAGAAGCTCAGCTATGATTCGTTGAATGGGTGCCAAGATGTTAGAAATCTCCGTCTTAGGTTAGTCTCGCCAAGCTCTCGTCACATGACGAACGCCAAAACAGCCAGAACACCAGAGAAGCCGGAGAAACTAGAGAGAAGCCGGAACGCCGGAACGGCCAGAAAAACAGCTAAAGCTGCACCTCTTTTCAGCTCCGTCACGGGCTGTAGGAATGTTTATATTTAACCAAGAAACCTTCGCCCTTTCACAATTTGACTGTTCCTACGGCCCACAAAGTTGCTGAAAATGAGCGGAGCTTTCGCTATATATTTTTGTTAGATCGCTTTCCATCTAAATATATGCTATGTAGGGGCTTGGGGTTTCGATAATACCTCTAGCTCCTGTAGAGAGCAAGTTTTTCGTATATAACATCCCGACAGCCTGTAACGGTACTGAATAGGAGGTGCAGCCTGCAGTTACTACACTGTTCTGGCTGCCCCAGTAGTCATCATGTGACAGGGCTGTTTAGCGTATCCAACCTGACACAAAGATCTCTAATATATCAGCAGGTATCGGACGAATAGCAGCGGAGTTTTCTAGAGCCAATCAGCTCCCATTCCCTTTTGCATGAGAAGACACCAGCCACTGGGTTGAACAAGTGGCCAAAAGTACAATTATCCAAAGCCATGCCAGGACACTGCACTATCAAGCTGAAGCTGTTGCGCTATAATAGATATCAAAGTGAGTGAGTGATTGAGAACTTGTTGTGTTTCACGTGACCGGAAGACTAACTCAATATGGCAATTCCTAACTCGTTAGCGTAGGTGACATGAGTGGCCGTAGAGCTTCTAGCAGCCAATTAGCTTTCATTTCTTCATGCAGGACAAGCCACCAACGACTCGTCTTAATATACATCTCAAGTTCCAATAACAGGTGGCAAAACCCATTCTTTTGACGAATTTTGGATTGAAGTAGTCGTTCACTGTTCATACCTTGCCCAGGTCGAGAGCCAGTGGCAGAGTCCCGTATGCTGGGGCCATGCTACGATGGGGAAGTCTGCAAATTGCCGTTCGAACACAGACCAAATAACGCTCGAGCGTGAAAAGGCGGAAAGCGTCAAGGAGAGTCAAGAAATGTTCCCGCCTTCTTGGCACGCTTGATAAGACTAGTAAGGTAGTGCTTTAGCCGACCCTAGAACAAACCCGCCCCTGCGCTTTCCCCTGACTCCCCAGCCCCATGGCCAGCGGCCAACAGTCGACAGCAAGATTTATTCGCACCGCGTTTCAGAAAAGTCGGATGTCCGTCTTGGTAGACATGCTGTGCGTTGGCGTCTTTTCTCCGTCGCTCGAGTCTTGGATGCTGTCCGTTACTTGCGGTATTTTGGACCCCTACAAAGTACCCCCAATCACTAATTTCTCCGCTGCCAAGGCCAGCACCATGTCTATCGCTTACCGAACTCGTCCATTATTGCCTAGATCCCGCGCGGCAGACATTCTCATAATGTGTATCCAGACCTAAGGGTGGAGAGTTGGTGGCCCCAGTGGGCGGGGCCTGCATCATTTAATATTGCAATGCCCATGTTAGTGCCGGACAAGCAGGATGCATGCACGAGCCGCTTCTACCTCGATGACAGTGATCATAGCATATATAAGGACGTAGTGGCTCGAGGCAGACAAGGAAAACAGGTGTTTCCTTTGCTCCACCAAGGCCCACTGTTTCGTTCCGACATCTCTACTTTGTCGAAAGTACAGTCTCGCCACCATGCATCTCCCTGCCTTGACCTTGGCGCTGGCCGGCACCACACTGGCCGCTACAAACTCTACCAAGCCATGGTCCACGTGGATGGCCACGTCTTTCTTGTCCAAAGGCCACCCAATTGACAACCACTACGTTTCTTCAGTCATCCACGAAGGCATGCAAAAGGCCGCGACTACACAAAAAGACGCAGCCCTCCTCGCCTACACCTCCAAGGCCCTGTCCTCCATCGTCTCGTCCAACGGCACTCTCAAAGGCTGGAACTCTACCTTCTACAGTCTTGACGACATCCGCATTGGAAACAACATTCTATACTTCTGGAACTCAGAAGGTCGCAAGGACAGCAAGTATGTGATTGCGGCCAAGGGCCTCCGTGAGCAGCTCAACCGATGGCCACGCACCCCCGAAGGAGGCTTCTGGCATCGTGCGCCTACCTACAAAAACCAAATGTGGCTAGATGGTATCTACATGGCTGATACATTTTACGCAACCTACACAGCCTACTTTGAGCCCCAAAACACAACAGCCTGGAACGACATTGAACTACAATTCGACCTCATCGAGGAGCACTGCCGCAACCAGACCACCAACCTTCTCTACCACGGCTTCAGCTCAGATAAGTCGACTGTCTGGGCAGACCCAGAGACTGGCACCTCTCCATATGTATGGGACCGTGCTCTGGGATGGTATTTCGTCGCGCTCGTCGAGGTCTTGGAAGTCTGGCCCAAGACACACCCCGGCTACGCCAAGCTCCTCAAATACTACATCACTCTTGCATCTGGAATCAAGAATGTCCAGGACACCAGTGGCGGCTGGTGGCTTCTGATGGACCCGGAGCTTGCTGGAAGGCAGGGCAACTACATCGAGTCGAGTGCAACCGCCATGTTTACTTACTCGTACCTGAAGGGAGTCAGGCTGGGACTCTTGCCGAAGGAATACCGGAAGACGGCCAGCAAGGCCTGGGACCTGCTGCTGGATGACTTTATCCAGTACGAGAAGAACGGCACAATCAGCTTCACGGGTACCGTGACGGTTGGAAGCTTGAAGGGCGATGCCTCGTACGAATACTACACAGGTGTTGAGACGCTCGTCAATGACGGCAAGGGTGCTGGTGCGTTCATGTACGCTGCCACCGAGGCGGAGAAGGCTCGATTGTAGTAAAAACCAAGGACCTCGATGCTATTGTATATATAACGCAGCCTTGTAATGATTGTACATATCTAAAACTTGTTTCTCGCATGGTTGGGTTCTGAGCTTTTTTTGCTGACATGAGTCGTGGAGCCACCTTTCCGCCACCGCATTTCGCCAACCACCCCAAGCCACACATTTGCCCAGCCCCGCGAAACTGAAGCAACTTACAATGCTAGGCGGAAAAACTCCGCCTCCCCTGCAGCGTCGCTCAAACAGGCTGCATCTGCTTTTTTCCACAGCCGTACTTGGCTGGCGAAACCGAATCAACAAAGAGCTGTCGGGGTGCTTCGTCATAAGCTGCCAAAAATAACGCTTGATACGGGGCCCCCTACCGCTGTCTTGTGGAGCCACGAGCCACGCTGGAGCAAGCAACCTCCCAGCCTCAGATCACCAGCTGAGCCCAAATGATAGACAGGGCAGATGGCTAACAGGGTCGCATTAGAAGGATCAGGTGACATGCGCTAATGTCATACATAGTTCTGTGCTGCTGGATATTTGACCGCTCCTCATCCCTACCTGTCTGTCGTTTCATTTACAACTAGCATCCATACTACATACGCACAACCCAACACACAGACAGACAATCGGCCGCTCAGCAACTCGCCTCTCTTTCCGCTGCTTACCCTGTTCACGCCAGCCCACCAAGCACAGTAAGCCAACATCGTTACCTTCTAGCGGTTGAACCCAATCCTAACCGCCACTGCAGAACCACCATCCCCAACAACCTTCCACCATGTCGTCAGTCGTTTCCACCGCCACCACCAGCGCACCCAGCGCCGGCTCTACCTGCGGCTCCGCCGTCTTCTCCGAGTTCCCGACCAAAGATGCAGCGTGTGCCGTCGGCGGCACCAGCGGCGTCCCCTCCAACACGACCGACGTGCTATCCAAATGCTGCAAGAAGGCGCCTGTCGAGCAATGGAATGGCTCGTGCGGATACTTCTGCCTCAGCTTTGAGCAGTCGGTCCGCGAGCTGCAGACGTGCTTCATGGACGGCGGCGTAGATCCCCGCTTGATCTTCTGCAATTCAAACAACTCGGCTACCGCCACCGGCACGCCCACTGGAAGCGGAGTCGCGGGCGCGAGCCGCACATCGGGCAGCGGGCCTGGTGCGACGGGATCGGGGGCTTCAGACAAGGACCACAAGGGCGCAGCGCCCGCTGTGGGCGTCAGCAAGGCTGGTCTCGGTATGCTGGGTATGGTTGTTGTTTCTGCGCTTGCCGGTGCCCTGTTGTAAGGGGGGGGGGAAGACACATGGAGGCATACGAGTATTTACGGTTTAATGTCGGCTTTTTTTTGCAATGAGGTCTCGTGCACAGTATAATACCATTTGTTTAATTAGACGATCTACAACGCAGTTATTTGCTAGCACTCTTGATTATCTTCGAACATCATTACGAAATGCGAAAAGTTGCACAACACATGGGATAATTCACCGTCTCTCTTTGCTTGCATAAAATCAATATGGCAAAATTCCCTGTCTTTTGTCGACGTGGATCGACAGAGTTGTGTTACGTACTACATTGTCCGTTGGTATGAGCAGTCGGCTGAATGGCTAGAAAAAAGAAGTAGAGGCTGGAAAGCCTTCGGAGAAGAATTGCAGTGGCGGCTTAGTTGTGGCGGCGCCAGCAATGCAGCTGGGAAAACCGGGTGGCAGAAAAGTAAACATTTTGTATGCCTTTGGCTGACCGATGAGAATGAGATTGAAAAGGGGGTGTTACATGTTGCTGGGTGATTTTACATGCTTTACTTGTTGTTCCATGGATTGTCCAACACTTGTTTAGTGAATATCCCATCCATGTCCTAATGTAGCCATCGCAAGTATTCTATCTGGCCTAAGGTACTTTACACTGTTATTGTTTCCTTACCGCCTGCAGCTTCATCGCATATGCTCACATGTGTTGTCTTCATAATGTTCCAATGCTGCTGTCTCTCTCCTAATTTGAGGATGCAGCGCTCGCTCTCACCATCGGCATCATCCTGAAGCTTTGTACGACCCTTGGAAGTATATTGCAAAGAAACAGCATTGAACTGGCTGTTGTGTTTCCGTGAGACCCCAATGGCCGTAGCAAAGCTCTCTGGAAGAATTCTGGAGAATACACCCAGGATCGTTTTCCGGAGGGGTGGCAGATTGGCGACAATAATACCGACGCAGACTTCGTTGATGCTACAGATGCTTAGGTCGATGGCGTCCCACATGAGCTCTTCGGATCGAAGAAACTTTGCGGTAATGGGGATTTTGGCAATGGAAAGACCTGTACCACTGTGGTGGGTAAGTGTGTGCTTTGGGCAGTGGACGGTGAAACTAACACTAATGCCAGCAAGAAAACAGTTCGTACGCCCCATTGTGTCTGTGTGCTGAGCTTTACGTTTCTTAGGTATACAATGGGTGCAGCGGCATAGATCTGTAATGCATTAGCCTTGAAGCTCAAATATCATTTAGACTACTCACCAAGTCAGTGATAATATTGGATGCAATCTGTACATAGGCAGTTACGTCGCTGACTGCTTCAGGCCAGCATTCTCCCTGCACTGCAAAGTCCCATCGTGAATAGTAAGGCCGACAGTATGCAAAGTGCAATATCAGCATCATGACAAAGTTGCATAGTACAACGATGACGACGGATGTCCAGATGAGAACCCGATAGCTGCGGCCAAAGTCCAACGCCATTAGGTAAGCACAAATCGAAGCTTTGACTAAGAACATTGCATATACGTTCAAACATTGGGTGATGAAGATCATGTGTAGCTCGTTCGACATGCGCCCAGGTATGAGCCACCACGGATCTGACATCAGCCGGCCTTGGCCACCTTTTGCAGCTAATACGGCGTAGGGCAGACAGCCCAGGAAGTTCAGAACCTAGGAAGAATCATCAGCTTCGACTTACTGAAATGTATATGTAAACATACCACACCACCTGCCATGAGCCAATCACTCAATGTCAAACGCCTGTTGATCTGCAGGCGGATGGCAAGCCGCCAGACGGCTACAAGTGTACATAGAGTGGCCATTATGGATGCAGTGGCGGTAAGTTGACCACCACGATTGGGCCATTTCTTGGGTGATGACTGTTCCATGTTGAGGGATGAAGGAGAGAGTGTTGGACAGGGATCCAAGGCAGACTTTGCAACATGTGAAAGAAGCTACTTGAAGATATAGCTTCTCGTATACGGCGCGTGTTAACAATGTCTCAGATACTTGAGATGCAGTGCACCAGGCAGGTACAATTTCCGATTGGAATGGCGCAAAGGGAGGGCGTGGGCGCGATAAGTACCTGTTTCTGAAGTGGCGAGCCGTCCATCTTACAATCTCATATATGGATGGTCCTCTTACCATCGGAGATACGTTGTTGATGAGCTAGGCCAATCATATTTTTTTCTTTCCAAATACCTCGCTGTGCCTCTTGATATTGTAGCGAGTTTTTGCACATTAGCATGCACGGCGACCGTTACGGAAATGACGCTAGGCTGTGATAGTCGAAACTGAAATGTGGTGATGAATTTTTCCGAGACTGTAGTTCTTGCTCGGCTGTTGAAAAGAATCCTTATGGTTATCAAGTCTCCGCGGATAGAAACTGCCGATTTGTTCGACCGGCTTTTCAGATGACAACGTAATCTTGCAAGGGGCTCCCCTTTGCACAAAAGAAGGCGCGAGACCAGCAGGATATGAATTCAAGTTTATATTGGTCAAGAGAGGAAGCAGACTATGCATCTCAACTTTAAAACTGGCATAAGGCTTCGTGATGGATGTGACATGTGTTTAGGCAAGGAGACGTTGGTGGCGTGGGATGTTGGGAGTTGCGTTGAGATTCTGTTCGGATGGAAAGAAGCAGAAGTACCGTTAAGTCCGTCTCCACAAGCTGCCTCGATTGGGAATAGCCCATGAACAGGCAGGCACCCGTAATACCCAAGCGAAGTGATTTCATTCGGTTCCTCATGCCGCGGGAGGTCTAAAGGATTCCTTTGACCCGTCTACACGGAACCAGAGCCACCGAGCATTTTGAGCCTCGTGGCATCAATCGAAGCGCCATGTTGGAAAACCACACATAGATGCTTGATGGTGGCTACAAACATCATAAGCAGCTGACTGCGAGTCACTCCTTCCCCATGTGCCTCGCTTCTGTTTCTGTTTACTCTCGAAACGTCATCAGCAAACAACCCCGCGGACCCTCAACGACAACCATCACCTAGTTTTCAGTCTCGCCCTTCACAGCGCCCCTGACTAGCATTGTCCGCGCCGTAAATCAAACCCCGATATGACCATCGGTTCATTGCCTCCGATGAGGAATACACGGCAGCCGCCACAGTCTAGAATCTGCAGGGACCGGTCCTCGCATCTAGCACCATCATGCTGGCAACATTTAACATGCTGCTCTATCAACTTCAATTTGCCTCCGTACAGCGACAGTCCTTCTGAACTTTCCCGTTTTTCGTACTTGCGGGTATCCAGCAATCTTCGTCATTTCATTCGCTAGGCGAAGAAACCGAATCGAAAATGCTTTTGTTTGTTTTCCTCTCGCTGCTCGGATCGTCAGTATACGCAGACATCACCAATAATACCGTATACGACTATGTCATTGTTGGAGGCGGAACAACGGGCCTTGTGGTTGCGAACAGGCTGAGCGAGGATCAAAACAGCAAGTCGCTCCCAGGAACATCATCTCCCAACTAGACCCACTAACAATACCACCCACAGAGACGATCTTGGTGATTGAAAACGGTGCCCTCAGCAACAGTACACTCTCCAGCATCCCCGGCAACTCCGGCGGCCTCAACCTTGCCGCCATGTACGACATCCACAGTGCGCCCGTCCCCAATCTCGGCAACCAGTCGTTCCTCGTCACAGTCGGCAACGTCGTAGGTGGCGGCTCCTTCGTAAACGGCATGCAATTCGACCGCGGCGCCAACGCCGACTACGACGCCTGGGCGGAGCTCGGAAACCGCGGCTGGGACTGGAAAAGCCTGCAACCGTATTTCCTCAAAAGCAACCACTTTGATGCGCCGTCGAGCGCGACAACCGCCCGATTCGGCATCTCGTATGATGCAAGCGCATACGGCAACGGGCCCGTCCGCGTTTCCATTCCAGACTACCAGTTCCCGGATATGAAGCACATGTATCATTCGTGGGACGACATTGATATTCCGCATCCAAAGGAAGGATTCGCAGAGCCAGTCGGCCACTACTGGTCGCCGAATTCGATTGATGCAGCTACGGGCATGAGGTCGACCGCGCGCACGGCGTATTACGATCCGATCGTATCGCGGGGAAATCTCAAGCTGCTGACGGAGACGCACGTGGATGAGATTACTTTTTCAAGGGACGGGGTCGGCGGCGCACTGAGAGCTACGGGCGTCAAGTTCACGCGGAACAGCAGCGGTAAACAGGCGCAGGTGTTTGCGGCCAAAGAAGTCGTTCTCGCTGCAGGGGGCGTGTTTACTCCCCACCTGCTCATGTACTCTGGTATCGGGCCTGCTGATGTCCTGGAGGACGCCGGCATTACTGTCAAGAAAGTAAGTAAGCGAAACCAACCCTGCTTAGCCAGTTAGAGCATTATTTTCTAACATGGGATATGTGGTACAGCACCTCGCAGGCGTCGGCTCCAATTTCCAAGATCACGTCGCCAATTACATGAACTTTGAGCTGCAGAATCTCGATGCAGAGAATATGGGTGCGCTGAATACAAACTCGACATTCAATCAGACAGCTTACACGCAATACCTCTCCTCACGCAGCGGACCCTACTCGGCGGGTAAATCAAACGGCCTTGTATTCCTCGCTCTGCAACACTTCGACCCAGCCTTCAACGAAACCATAGCAAAACTCGACTCACAAGATGCATCCTCGTTCCTCCCCGCGCGCTACAAAAACGACAGCCAGCTCCTCGCAGGCTTCAATGCACAGCGCGCCATCCTCCGCAAGCACTTCGCCAGCACGACCTCGGCTGTCGGTGAAATCGTCATCCAGCCCTGGGGCCTTTCGGGAATCGCAAACAACAAACCGCTGTCCCGGGGAACGATTACACTGAACACAACGAATCCCCGGGGGTACCCCGTTGTGCAATGGAACACGTTTCAGAACCCGCTCGACGCACATGTCATGGTGGCACTGACGCGGTTCAACCGTGCACACTGGGCCAAGTCTCCTCGTCTCGCGCGGTACCAGCCTGTGGAGACGGCACCGGGCGCCCAGTACGTGACTGACGAAGAGATTGTGCAGGGGAGCATCGATACAGGCACGCTGCAGCCGACGTTTGCGCATCCGAGCGGAGGATGCAGTATGTTGCCTCTGGAGCTGGGGGGCTGTGTCAGTGACGAGTTGCTCGTGTATGGCGTGCAGGGGTTGAGTGTTGTGGATGCAAGTATCCTGCCGTTGATTCCTGCGGCCCATTTGCAGGCCACCATGTATGCGGTTGCCGAGAAGGCGGCAGATCTGATCAAGAAGAGGGCAGCGGCGGCGGCGGCGTAGCTGGACATGGCTTCATGCACGTCAATCACTTGTCAAGATCTTCATCTTGGGGGAATGCGGGTTCATCGTTCCGAGACACTTTTTTTCATCTGCAGAATAAAGACTTCACATCACAGGCTTACGTACCAAGCACAAGTGCCAATCGACATAGCCGCCGACGAGTGTGCCAGAACGTCACATGAGCCCAACCTCCCCAGCATACGAGGCAGACAAGAAGCCCGATCATGTCCCGTATCCGTACTGGCCTAGCATGAGTCGGTTACGTAGGTGGTCAACGTATGTCTTAAACGAAGGCAATAGTGATGACGATGGGCGTGAGGAGTGTGCTGTTTAGCGAGCCAGGGCGAGCAGAGTCTCAGGGGGGGAGGCGGGAAGAGGGCTGGCTTGCTGACTGTTCTTGTGTGATTGATCGGGGGTGGCGAACAGGATCCAAGCGGCAGCGACGTGCTGTGATTGATTCTAACCTTTTCCTAGAGAGTAAGCTTTGAGGGGGAAGCGGTTCGGTTCCTCGGGTAGTGGTTTTTCTTTTGTAGTAGCAGACACTGGGCAGGTGTTGGGATGATGGCTGTGGGGCACAATGGAAATGAGACGGCGATCTGCACAATCAGCTTCACGAATTAGGGGTGTTGGAGGGAGGGAATGGTGTAGGGCTGTGATGGTGATAGGCGTGATAGGGCTAGAGGCACTTCAGTGGCGTCGATACTGTCGCGAAGTGAGCTTGACGTCGTAACCAAGGTACTATTGTTGGGCGACAAAAAAACGGTGTTGAGCAAGGCTTTGCTCTGCTCTGTTGGTGGCGCAAACTATCCAGGTCCAATGTCGTGGTAGATATGCTCGTCATGGCAGAAGGTGCATCGATTCGCTGTCGTTCCAGACAGCTGGGAAAGTTAGAGTGGAGTCGAGGCGCGGAGGCACGTGCTCGGCCAGGGCGTTCCCTGCCGGCAGTTGCCTGAGGCATGTCGAGGCGATATGGCGTTCCGCGCTTTGCGTGCACTGTTCAGGTACGAAGTTTAGTGAGTGCTAGGAGAAAGAGGTTGTCGCGATTAGACCTAGACCGACAATAGCGTGGATGACTGTGTTGCCATGAGGTGTATTTTTTGCTTTTCGTATAATTTCGGGTGCAGTAGATAATGCGTGTTCTATTGAAAACCTTGGGAGTCTTTCAGTGGTACGATGGTCGGGTTTGCGGCTGAACCATCCAGAGCTGTCCTGTGAGAGACGTGATGGCAGCACTGTTGGACAGAAAACGCAGCATAGGCTGTGCGACGGTCTCTGAGAGTCCCAACGTGTTGCAGTGGATCCGTGCATCCGAGGAGTTGACAATGTACCTGGATAGACAAAAGGGGACATCAGATGACCTGCCCATATGCTAAGCACCAATCAGGTGCGGTACATGCAACAGACGTGAGGAAGAAGCTTCGTCATCTGGCCGCGAAGATTAGTGGACCACATCTTGGAAGCGGTACCCCGCTTGTCTGGACCCATATACGCCTAGCCCTGATCGCAGCAAGACGGGAGCTCGGATTGTCGTTGTTGTTGTTTTTGTTGTTGATCTTACTGCTTGGCAGTCTACTTGGTGTTTGTGGAGGGCTGAAAAGCAAATTCGCTCCAACGAGCTGTCACAACGCCGATCGGATGCGAACGTGATGCGTGCATGCCGCTAAACAGCATCCAAGCGATTGGGGACGCAGAACTTTGTTCACCAAAGGCGCATTCGTATCGGTCTGTGAATAGCTCGAGTAGGTAACGGCTGGCTGGTGCAGTGGCCAGTACAGGGGGGAGCTGGGCACCATGGGCGGGGAGGTGGTCTGAGTGGAGCGAGAAAGACAGGGAAAAGTGTGCGACGTTTGCATGGAAAGGGACAAGGTGCAGGGTTTTCAGTCAACAATTTGGGTGGAGACGTTTGTGTGACTCCAGCTTGCACGTCTTGCGTAGCGGGAGTGGATGGCCCTCCGGTGCGCCCGCGTAGGCATGCCCAGTCTTGATGGGGGCTGTGGGCAGAATGGCGTGCATGGGCGGTTCCAGCCATGTCGAGTATGGAAAGGTAGGCTATATCAAGGTTGCCGCCTCGTGTCTTCTGATTCGTCGAGCGTGAGTGGCAAGCTTACGGCACTCAGTGTATCTGGGTAGTACCGAATACCGGGATGCCAGTAGAGACAGTTGAGATTGAAGGGCGAGTGGGTAGGTCTTGGAAGCGGTCTTGGAAGAGGCTCGGAGATTTTTTTGTGCTGTAGGGAGGCCGCGAGCGAGCGGAGAAGTCGCAACTGACGCTGTCCTGGTCCCGCTTCCGCCTCGCATCGCATCGCCCGCCAGCACGGGTCGTCACAGTCGGATGGGATGCGGTGAGGTTATTCGCTGGCAGGCGGGCGAGGGTTGGGGGAGGACCCTGCAGGCCGGCGGCCGATCCGAGGGCGCTTCGCCACAACAGGCAAAAAACGAAGGCGGGGACCCTTGGGCCTCTCAACGACGACACGCGACAGGCGCGTGGGGGAAGCGCAGCGGCAGCGCAGACAGAGGCACGACCACGACAGCTTGTCGAGATTTGCGCCCGTATAGCAGAAAAGCCATCGGTCGACCAGAATATCGCCTCATATCAACAAGCCCAAATCAAGTCGAGCAACGGCAAGGCGCACAGACGCCGGGAGCGACATCGATGGCAGACACCCCCGGCTTCTGGACGGCCATTGGCCAGGCGTAGATTGTCGCTGTAGCCACTGAAGAGCCGCAGCAGCAAGATGCCTGGACCCAGCCAGGCCCGCTCCACCCTCAGCTTTCTTCTGCTGCTGCTCGCTTCTCCACAGTCGTCCAATGTACCAGCAAGTCACGGCGCGCGCTGCTGAGCCAGGCTGTGTGGGCGTGGGTGTGGGTGCATAATACCGGCACCCCTGCGGGCCAATCCGACACCATCCAGTACCCGCGACGGACAGGCCGTTGACGCCTACCAATAATGCCGCATAGACGACACTTGCTGTGTACCTGCGTACTGTGCAAGTTCCACTGGTAGCCGGGCGGGCGTGCACGGCGCAGCTCGAGTAGGCTGGTCCGAGGCCTCCCTCGCCTCCATCGAGGGTTATATTCCTGTCCATTCCCAGTCCCGTGCATCTTGGTTGCTGATGACGCTCGTTCCTCAGTCTGACGCCCATTTGCGACTCGAGAGTACATCCATACACGCTTGCTGAACCCCTCTCTGCTGCGGCCACGATGAGGTCCCCCCCGCCAGAGGTCCTTTTGTCATGGCCCAAGCCCAACTATGTCGACCCCGTCACCAGAGGCCCCGGACTGATGATTGTTGAGTTGACGCTGCTCCCCATTGCCATGCTGGTCGTGTTTCTCCGGCTCTGGGTGCGCATCTCATGGCTGAAGAAGAGCTGGTATGACGACTACCTGATGATTGTGGCCATGATTTTCAGCATTGGTAGGCAGCACCCGGCTCGCGCCAAGCCCCACACTGGCTGACTCGTCATACAGGCACGACCGTCGTGGTCATCATGGCGTCTCAGCTGTACGGCTGGGATCGCCATGTCTGGGACCTCAAGCCGCACCAGATGATGGTGGGAAGACAGGTACGACTGCAGCTGGCTCATGGGCACTGTACGCTGATGCTAACCTGTGCAGGCGTCCATGGCGTGCCAGACACTGTTCGTCCTCGCATCGTCGACGGTCAAGATGTCGATCCTCGTCTCCTACTTTCGCATTGCACCGGAAAAGTCGACGTTCCGCAAGTTGGTGTGGGCTACGTTTGCTCTCGTCTTTGCTGCTTTCGTCGTCTTCCTCGTTGCCCTGTGGGTTCAATGCATGTAGGTGCGTCCAAGCCGGCACGTCATGTGAGAGTGCTAACAGCTGCAGTCCCATCTCGAGTTACTGGAGGCTGAATGCGGACCACCGCGACTGTATCCCGGAAGGACCGCCGCTGGTGGTGCAGAGTGTGCTCAACGTCGTAACCGACTTCATGATCTACGCACTGCCGATCCCTACCCTCTTCTCGCTTTCGCTGCCATGGAGCCAACGCATTGGACTGGCGGTTCTCTTCTCGGTGGGCGGAGTCATTGTGGTTGCCAGCAGCTTCCGGGCCTACTGGGTGCATTACACACTGTTTGAAACATACGACGCAACATGGGAGGGGTACCAGATCTGGGTATGGACAGCCGTCGAAACAAACGTCGGGGTTATTTGCGGATGCATTCCGGCGCTCAAGCCGTTGCTATTCCCGCACCGAGCCCGGCAGCAGGGCTCTAGGTACGCCAGCGGGTCGCAAAACAGCAGGAAGAAGGAGAAGGTTACGCCTGTCATCGACCAGGTTGAGATGGACACGCGCAGGCTGACTGAAACGGATGAGGCGCAGCAGGACATTGCCATTACCGCAGCGTCGGGCCACCGCAGCATGCTGTCGGAGCGGCCGATGAGTGGCAATACGGACAAGAGCCGGTTCGACCTTGACATTGAGCAACAAAAAGCCTACATGTACTGATGGCGAGGCACAGTACAATAGAAGTACGTCTATTTAATCTTCGCATACGTTGGTTGAGCGAGTGGAGTGAGGGGCGGCGTGCAGCTGGGGATTCCCTGCTAGTCGTTTCGTGACGCTCATCCATGTTCTCTTTTCTCATTTCTCGTTTATATTTTCCTACTCTTGTCAATACTGTCTGGTACGCGGCGGGTGGGCGGATCCGTCGGGCTCGACGCCTCCTTCTTTTCTTGGTATTTCCTTTGTGTCTGGGCGGCCGGCTGCGCATCACGATGCCAGTCTCTTTTTTATTCATTTATTTATTTATTTTTATTTATTGGAGTGCTAGCAGGGCGTTTAGGGCGGTAGCAGGAAATGCCATCACGTCAGCTCATATGACAGCGGCTTTGCATGTTGTTTTGTTTCGCGCATTGGGTTCTTTTTTGACATGTCGGCGATGCGCAAGTTCCGTGGCGAGGGCCACGCTAGAGCGGAGGCTGAGAAGACAGGTGCGCTTGACCAGCAGACCCCTTTGACGGTATCGCGGCTGAATTTTCTCTAGGCATGTCGACGCTGTCTGTTAGAAATTTCGCAGCGACAGGCTGGCAGATTGCGAGGTGCATCGGGCGTGGGTGCGCATGATGGGGTTGACATCATGGTTCATGGGCGAGGTCAGGCATTGCATTGTGCCTCAGGCATGGTCGAGATGAACGGGAGCGATGGCATGCCGGCCGTGCACAGCCATGGTGCGACAAGAGCGGCCAAGTTTCTTTTTTTTTGTTTCCGGAAGAGAGCTAGGGAGGCCGAAGTCGTCTGTTCGTGTTTCGGCAGGCGGTCGGTCTGTGTGCGCGAGTGCGAGCCGGAAACATGATGTCAAGCGACAGGGCGTGTGCAGTCGGCGGCGGCCATGGCAAGCAGCGGGCAGCGCTGGGACAAGAGCAGGCGAGACAGGCGTCCAAGGGGCGGCGGTGGTTGCGACACGTAGTCGCCCAGGACGCGGCGTGGTGATGGTCGAGGTGGGGTGGGGTGAGTGGGAGAAGCTTTTGGAAGAGTCAGGAACAGGAACGCGGCGACGTTGGCGGGGAGACTAGCGACAAGGCTGAAGGCACCATGACATATGCCACACGGCCTGCTCACCGCCCCGCTGCGTCGGCACGTCGCAAGCACTCGCACTCGTAAAACAAGTACATATGGACGATGCATGCCGACATGCATGGCCAGTGTAGCAGGCGCGGCGGATGCAGTGGTTCGTGTGGCTCGCGGGCAATGCTGGTGGTGGTGGTGTTGCTGTACACGGCGTACGTGGTGCGTCTACTTACCGTACGGGTGCAGGCGCCAGCAAGATTGTCATCAATGCCCCGAGTAGCAGACCCTCGCTGCCAACGTCACAGGAGGCGCCCAGTGCTTCGGCGCACGACCGTTGGCCATCCAAACTCACCTCATGCACCGCCAGACTCGCCGCAACAGTCCAAGTGGGCGTCCCAAGTGGCAGCCCATCCTGGTGCTAGCCCGCCGGCTTCCCGTCTAATGCCAACGCACCGCGCAGCCCATGGCCTGGCAGGGCGACGCCCATTGCGAAAAGGATCCCCAACCCGCCCACGCACACACGCCTATTATAAGCTGCAGGTACCTCGAGTGCGCACCATGTCCTCTCCACTGTCTTCGCATCCCTCGCCATGTGGTCGTCGTCGTCGCCGCTGCTGCTGCCCTTGCTCTCGCTGGCCTCGCTGGCCTCGCTGGCCCTCTCAGCCCCAACCACCCCCAAGCCCGACTGCAACACTCACCCCGTCTGCATCATTGGCGCAGGCCCGGCAGGCCTCGCCGCTGCCGGCCGCCTCAAGGACAAGGGCATCAAGGCCGTCGTCTTCGAACGCCAGGAAAAAGTCGGGGGCAAGTGCCAGGCCTGGTACGACGACAGGTATGTGTTGCACCGCACCGCATCGCATTCATTGTATGCGCGCCACCAGGCGCCGCTGACCACCCTCGCAGAGGCATCTTCCACCCGCTCGGCGCCGCCTTCTTCTCCAATGCCACCTACACCGACACCATTGGCATCCTGAACAAGACCAATGTCGCCATCGAGCCCTTCCCGCTCGCCGGCGCACGCAGCCAGTACACGTACAACTTCACCAACGGCGACATTGCCCCCATGGCTGCCCTGACCCCTCAATTGACCGCCGTCGTCGCTGCCGAGGTGCCCAGGTACATGGCGCTTTGGAATCAACGCTTCCGGCCCATCAGCGGCCTCAACTACAAGGTGCGCCCGTCCGCTGACTGATGCGCGCAACCACGACCGCCAGGCTAACGCCGCAATAGGATGGCGTGCCCCAGGAGTTCACCGTCTCCGGCGCCGAGTGGTTCCGCCAAAACAATTTCACCGGCCTGCCCATCCTGCTCGTCAATGCCGTCGCGCTGTACGGCTATGGCGATATCAATATCGTTCCCGCAGTACGTCATGACGCGCCAAAAAAAATAGTTGCAGGGATGCTGCATGCACGACGCGCGCGCGCGCTAACACCCCACTAGCTATACATCCTCAAGTACTTCACCCCCGACATTCTGACGGCCTTTGTCGGCCTGCACGATGCCTACTACATGGACTTCCACAAGATGTTCGTCGAGTATGCCGAAAAGGAGCTGTGCCACACGCCCATCCACACGTCTTCCGAGGTCCGCTGCGTGGACCGATCAGGGGCCAACCCTGTCGTGACCTACACGACCCCGAATGGCAACTATGTTTCCTGGAAAAAGCAAGAGTGCTCGTCCGTCATCTTCGCCTTTCCGCCCAACCTGGCCAACCTGGAGCGCGTCGGAGTCGACTTGACAGAGGAAGAGTACACTACGTTTGCAAACGTCTCAACCCACCAGTACTACTCGTCGGCTATCGAATTTGAGCTTCCCTACGGCGTTTCGTATGTTGCAGCAAGCGCCTCCCCTTATGTGCCCCCGCCAAACGACGGCCAACCGGTAGCCATTCTGCACCTCATCCGAAACTCCAATGTCTCGGTCGCCTGGTCCTGGGGTCCCTATGATTTCCAAACCGAAAAGGCTGCCAAAAACTTGCTTATCAAGAGCTTGTCCGAGATCAACAAGGACCCCCGCAATGCCACGGCTCCTTCCCAGCCCTTTAACGAAACTGACGTCAAGGCCTTCCGCAAATGGGACTACTTTCCACACTTTGAGACCGATGCCCTCGCCGACGGCGCTTACAAGAAATTCAATGCGCTCCAGGGCCACAAGAAGTCGTACTATGCCAGCGCACTCAGCGGCATGGAAATCGTCGAGTGGGCTCTCCGCAGCGGATACGATATCGTCGACACGTACTTTTAGGCAAAACAACCTGCTCGGCACCTTTCGCTGCCGCCACGTGTATGACAAACGAGGGAAAAAAGAGTTGCCTACTCTTTTCTTTTTTCTTTTCCGCATCATGCCCGCATGCCCCCCGGGAATCCCCGTGTTCCCGGATTCACGAACCCACGATAGCAGATCATCGGGATCCGGAGCCGTTACGACTGCGAGGAAACCATCCTTTTCCTCGTCTCGATTTTTCCTTTTTGGCGCCTGCATCCCTTGCTTTTTTGGTTTCCTCATGATGATTCAACGTTTTTCTTTTGATTCGCATATTCTAGACATGATACCTATCCCACCCACGGCACCTCACGACCGTCATGACCACGCGTTGTATTGTTTCTTCTGCTTCTTTCTCTTTCCCCTTGTTCTGTTCATGGCTCCCCCTCTTCCGACCCGTGATATCTCGGCATTGGCGATGGAGGGAGAAGACATGAGGAATGAGAATGAGAAGGACAGAAGTCAATACTCGCATGCTTAACAACTATGTACCAGTCTTTGGTTTTGTTTAATGGTAATGAAAGCTGCTCCTGTGTAGCAGCAAGCTCAGCCTAGCTTACATGTATGTTTTCACCAACATATGCATGAGCAGAAGCATGGAAAGGAAAAAAAGGAGCATCATGTGCTTTATGAAATGTACATAGCATACAGACATGTGTATATAGATGTTTGCTAGAACCCCAGAGGCACAGCTTGGTGCTTAATCTATGACTATTTCTCTCTTACTTACCTATCGCTTTCCACTTCTATCCCCGCTCTATTTACCGACACATAAAAAACCCTAATAACATCAATTAGCATTGCCGATACCACAGCAAATAAACAATCGTTCGTGTTCGCCTCAGTGCTCATGTCAGATGGAAGAGATGTCATTTTCCTTCCTGTACATGTAAGCCCAGCACGCCTGACGCATATATATACTACCACTACTATACATGTCTGCTAACTCTATCCCCCCCACACACGGCATTCTATGCACGACATAACTATAATCCTCGCTACTCGCACCTGTTTCGGTATAGCACACGCATGCATGCTATGTACGTAGGCGAAGCGGGACATGGGGGTCGCCTCGTTTCGCTACGTGTGTAATAGCTCGGGTGTTATAGGCGTAAGCAGTATGCCTGGATTGGGAGTAAGGGTAAGACTATTTGGGGACGGGGACAGGGGGGTGGGTTGGAGGAGGAGGAGGAGGAGGAGGAGGGTTGATGGGAGAGAGAGAGAGAGATACGGGGGG